CTCCGTGGCAACTTGGCCGCGGCAAGGAATTCGACCCCAAAAGCACCCACTAAGGAAGTATCAACGACCCCAATTTCCGAAAACAGGCTAACTGACCTCCAAGATCTATTGCATCAAGTGTCCTGAGTTGCGTTTTTTTGCCAAAAGAGTCAGCGAAAGGGGTGCTTAAAAAAAAGGGTTGCTCTGCTTAGCGCAGCCCAGCTATGCGCAGAAGGTTCGCCAATCTGCCGTTTTCGAAATCCGCACGGAGCCGCAGAGAGAGCACACCCTCGCAAGACACCAAATTCGTCCACAGACTTTGTGCGAGCCTGCGCAGTCGAAATGCACATGAGCATCTCATGAGGAAACTTTAGCGCGAGCCTGCGCAGCCCAAAAGCGCGCCCCAAATCTCGGCCAACCACTTTGCGGAAGCCTGCGCAGTCGAAACGCACCTGCAAGATTTTATGAAGTCACGGTTGTACGTAAATATAATGAAAAATGCTCCAGACCAAATTGAGCACCTTGATGAAGCAGCGGCCCCTGACTCTTACCGTAAGAACCCCTTAGTGCTGACACACTGTTTAGGGGAACGATCTTCGGGGACTGTTGGTTTGTCAAGCATCCCAGGACTGCAGAACCCACTTCTTGTTTTGTCGTTTGTGGAAGCCAAGGCCAAGACCAAAGCATCATGTTCGACATCTCATCTGACCTCCAGTCGGTGGTCAACACGACAGACGGGTGTAAGACGATTGTCCGTGTCTGCGACATGGTGTACGAAGCTTTTCAAAAGAATATCCCTGACCTCAAGGTGGATAACCATGTCTGTGTTCCCTTGATGGCCGGGAATGAGGTGGGGGCTTCGCAAAGCTAAGTTTTATAGTGTGAATGAACATAGACTTGCCCACCCTCTCCCCCGCAGGGAGTCTCCCAAGAGAAGTTCTGCCGCTGCACCATTCGCGCGGGCACCCGAGCCTTGGCCTTTGCCCCCGATCGGCTCAGCGACGATGAGCTGGCCGCAGACAGCCTGAAGAGGGCAAGCGCTGGCTCCGCTTGGCTCGGCAAACTCAAGATGCTCAAGGGCACAGTGGCAACAACCTTGTGGGAAGTCCGCCTTCAAACTGACCATCCCGCTTGCATCAAGCCTCTCAAGCCCAAGTTTTGGCTGACAGGGTCCCTGAAGCTGATTGCCAACAAGCTCTACCAAGTCGTTTAGGCCAGCGTGATTGCATGCCTGTGGCCCCGGTAGGTGAGATTTTTGCCATCGGCCGACCATCAACGGCCGACGCCCCACTTTTCGGGGCCAGACTAGGACAAACGCGAGGTGATCAAAATGATTAATCCGTGGCATGTTCCAGGTCAAGCGTCCCTCTTGTTGCAAGTATGTGCGAACCCTTTCCGCCAAATCAAGAACACATCAAAGTGCCAGTGTGTGAGTTTGGACGTGATCTTGGGCAAGCCAGGTGCTGTGCACCCGAAGGGAGGATGTCAAAAGTGGAGCCTTTACATATCGTTGCCCCGGCATGTGTTGGATTTCTCTTTTCTTGGGAGCTCCAAACAAAGACAAACTATTGGAAACAGGCTCACTTTTGGCGTTTTCAAGTGAATGCATCGGCCCAAGACCTCGGTGTTTCATTTGCGGTAAGTTGCCTTGCCAAGTTGCTCATGCCGCCAACCATGGCAGAGCGTGTGAGCACACTCAGCGACTCGGAAGAGGCAGAGCAACAAACACCTGGCGCTGCTCTGCCTGCCCAAGCAAAAGCGTCGCCCAAACCCAAAGCTGGGCGAAAGAGGAAATCTGCTGAGACCAAGCCGCCACTGAAAGCGCCCAGTACGCCAAGCAAAGCGCCGAAGCCACCGATTGCGGAGGGAGAGTCGCAGAACAAAGCCAAAGCCAGGAAGCCACCCATGAAGCGGCCTGCCGCAGCTGCTGGCAGTATGAGAAAGACCAGCATTGGCCAGCCAGAGCCTGAAGTCACGCCCCATCCTGGGCCCAGCCAGCCTGCAGCAAAAAAGCGCCCAGCCGCGAAGTCAAAGAAAGCCAAGAAGCCTGCCACGGGCGAAGGCAAGATCTACGAGGACTTGGGTGAAGGGCTCTGCAAATCCTGACTTTCGCGAGCCACCCGCGTGCGTGCCAGGACCTTCCGCCACTGAAACATGTGCATGCTGGCGGGCACCACTACTACGAAATGAGGTATCCAAAGTCAGGCTTCGTCAGCGTCCGTTGCAAGGCTACGTTGACGATCCTGATTACGGCACCTTTGCCCGGTTTGATTCAAGCTTTCGAGATTTCGTTTTGCGGGCAAGGAAAACACTCACCCAAGCACGTTTCCAAAAGACCCTTCAACACCGCTTGCAGGCGCGCATCCGCGGCGCAAGCCTGAAGGAGAACATGACTGTGTGCTTGGAGGTGCTGAGCCGGCTCGAAGCTGGAGATTCTGAGGGGCATGCCGTTCAGTGCGGCTTCATCAAAATGGGGGAGGTCAGCAAGATGGTTGCGGACCGCACTCAGCCTGGGGTCCCGGACGAAAAGTGCGAGGAGCCGCTGAACCTGCCAGAGGGCGAGGATGCAGAGATTGAAGGACCTTCCCCGCCCCCTGGGTTCAACTGCGAAGACACGCCGAATGAGTCTCAGGACTGAAACCCGCTTGCTAGGAAGTCCACTCTCGGGCGGCCTATCGCTTTAACAAGAGCATTTACTGATTTGTCTCGCCCACTACGTTTGCACAGGTGATCCCTTGATGGCCGCTTCAGAGTTTAGTGCTGCTCACTGTAGTAGTGGGGACTTGGGCGCGCAGTTTTGACATTACGAGTGTAGTTTTGCAAGCATGGACAAAAACGTTGCCTCAGCTTGCAGTGGTCACTGACGCATGTACTGATTTACCCCGGTGCAGATTTGCTTGCCGGAGCAGCCAAAAGCTTGAAGCCATTGATTCTCAAGTTGATGCAGCGCCAAAACCATGTTTTGAGAGTTTCTCAGCTCTCTCCCTCAGAAGGCGAGGCTAAGCCAGCCTCCGTGCGGAAGAAGGAAGCGCCGATTCCCGCATCCAACTTGGGGTTTGCCTCAGTGCGGGTGAAGGGGCGAGCGGCAGCAGCCGTTCAAGCAGGTCAACCAGCCAAGATTGTGGAAGGGACTATGGCGCTTTGGCGGCAGGTGTCTGAGTCTTGCTTCGGGCATTTCGGCGCAATTTCTTTGAGGGCACCCTGCTGGTTAGCTTCAAAGGGAGGCCAAATGTAAAACCCACCATTTTGGGGGGTCCACAGAAAACACACACACACACACACACACACACTGTTTTACATCTACCCTTTGTTCATTGCGATGCCCCTGACTAAGGTAGAACAAGAAGGAGCTTCAGCTGAACAATGCATGGAAATCGCCAACACTGCTGCAAGAGAGCTCAACAAGGGAAAGCCACTACAGGATGTCAAGTTCTTGATCTCTTTAATGATGGAGCATTTGAAGCAACACGCGAGCAGCTCGCATCCATCCAGTGCATCATCAGCAGCCGCTCCTCCTCTCAAGAAGCACAAAAGATCAGTCTAGAATGGAGCGGTTTTTTCGTCGGATGCACAAGCTGTCAGCGCTTTTGTGGTCTGGGCAACTGAACACCGCTTTTTCCGTGTCTCTTAAACTCCTGTGGCTTTAAGCCAGTGGAAAAAAGGAAGCCCGGCACAGCGGGCGTGCCTACTTGCGCTTGGGAAGCTTTTTCATTTGGACAAGCAGGGCTGTGATGCGCTGAACTTTGCTGAGGTGAAACGTTTTGTCGTTATTCAGCCTGAGCGCTTTTCGGTCTGCATTTAGAGTCTTCGTGATTCGCTTCCCTCCAAGACCCTGGGCCCAGAGTTTTTGAATGCGGGGCAGCACTGATACTGCGAAGGTTTTGGCTTGTTCGTGGCGCTTCTTTGCGCCCTTACCTCGGACTTTCTTGTTGTGCGTGCCCAATGCCACGCCGCGAGACTTGGCAACTTGAAGGGCACGCTTGACTCGCATGGAGCATAAATCGGCCTAGCAGGGTCTTTCACACAGTGGAGCAAAAACAGTCACAATACCAACACCTCTTCTGGCTGTTTACTTTGGCACCCAAGCCTCAAGTTCCCCATCCAAAACAAGCTTGCCGAACAAGTTTTTGCCTCTTGGGGTCGTTGTGTCTAGCTCTTCGTTCTCGCAAATAAGGACAGGCACCTTGCTGTCTTCAATCTGCACCAAGTCCTTCTTGTTTCTCAGCATGCGGCACACCGAGGAAGTTGCTAGCACTCCATCTGTAGCAGAAACGTTCTTGATGATTCCGGCCAGCGTGTCAGGCCACTTGCGTCCGCGGCGAGCTGAGGTGTCACGTACATACCAGGCAGTAACTTCCCAATTGGCCCCAAAACGTCGGGCGAAGCATCGTTTGCAGTCTTCTTTCTGGGCCTGAAGGGAGTACGCTTTCGCCCCAAACTTCCGCAGAGCTTCCCCCGGAGACTTTCCCAGGATAACGTGCAAGCGAGCTCTGTGGCTTCGTACCATCCATCCACCAGCTTGAGACGACTTCCAACCCTAGGTTTGTTTGAGTCTGCGCTGGGTGGCAGCATCAACGTTGCGCGACGCAACATTTGAGCCAAAATCGTGTAAGATGAAGTTTCAAACTGCTCCGGCAAGGTTTGTCAAAAAACCCTCAGCATCCTTCGCTCGCCGAGGCCCTGGCGTGGGCGGTGCGTGGCACAGCAGCCAGCGTAGCGCGGCGGGCGGGACGCTGGCAAAGTACCCGGAACAATCCCGGGTTTGTAAAAGGTACCCTGGGGGATTAAACTGGGTACCTGAAAGGTTTGGACTGGGTACCTTGTAGAGGGGCCAGGCTTCCTTTTTCTCACTGCTGCAAACGGCGTAACAACCATTGCCCAAAGCCATTTTCAACCCAGATCAACCAGCGATGCAGCAACCCATGCTGCGGCGCCCCGATTCAATCCGGCGCCCCGAATCAAAGGTAAACTCATTACATGAATGTCAATTTTATTTGAGTTTGAGGATAATTTGGGGCTCGATGCGCAACGCAAGTTGTTTGTGGTTTGTGCTTGTTTTGTTGTTTGGTTCCTGGGGGGGCTTTCCTTGGGGTGGATGTCTAACAACTTGTGCCTTTTGCGCAGGTTTCAACTTGTTTTGGGGGGCTGGATGTTCAACCACCGCGCTTGGCTTTTTGTTTGTGTTTGTTGTTTGCTTGGAACTGGATCTCTGAACCAATTCTCTTCAGTTTGGCGTTTTTTGACTTGTTTAATACACCCTTTATGTTCCATCCTTCAATACCAACCAACCCCCAAGAAAGGCCATTGTGACCCTGTCCGCCAACAAACAGCGGGTGATGAACATTTGGAATAGCCACCACCATCTGTCAATTTGTGGCGACCTTTAGTGTTTGAGGCAGGGTCCGAAGTTAAAGTTACTTACATGCGTCCCAAGCAAGCAAGGGAACGCGAGGGAAAGCTGATTTGCACATACCCAATTTTCTATGAAGCTTGATGAGGATTACCCCAATTTAAATTTACACCGAAGTGTCCCTATCCCCACAAGCGGTCTTGAAATATGGGACCCCCCTGAAGACTTGCTGATTGTCCTAGTGTTGCCCTGAGCCAACACACAGGGAATATCCTCCCCTGTGGATCGCTCCAAAAACAATCGGGCTTGGACATGCTTGGACCACAAATTTCTACAGTTTGCCCACCTTTTTTGGGGCTTTATCCACTTGATCGAACGTGAGATACCTGGAATCCCCGGCTCCAAACCTCCAAAAACCAAAAATCGACGGGTGGCCGCCGGGCGCCAAGGAGGACTTCGCGAGCTCGGCGCTGGCGCTGGACTTTTGCGCCTCGGCGAAGCCGGGGAAAGCGGTGACGGGGGGGAAGAAGATCAGGAACCTGACGCAAATGGTGCAGTAAATATTTATGTAAGAATATCTAGAGTTAACAACCTGGATTCCAGAGTACATGTTTTGTAAGTATGATATGATATTGTTACAGGCACATGTATTCTTTGGCGGTATCCAAGTTCGACTGTTTGCGTGCAGACAACGGCCTTCAGAACACGTTTGACAGTTTGAGAGACAATCAACTATTACCAGCAAACCCGACGACCATCCCAGCATGAAAGCTTGCCAATAGCGGATATCACTTGTGAATGAAGCTCCTTTGATAAGCCCAGGATGATACTGCGGGTGGGAAGTCCTGCACCACCTAAGAACCCCTCAATGATGATTTCCCTTGTAAATGCCAACAAACAATGGTTTCCCATGGTTTCCAAGCCACAGTAGCACCGTCTGGGTATGGGTCAAAAATTAGGTACCCAAAATAGAACCCTGATAAATGGAAACATAGACTAAAACCTGCGGTCCAATTCCTTGTGGTTTAAGTTTGACTGACTCATACCCATCTCTCTCCATGGCCCAGGCGACACCTTCGAGGGCGTCTACTTGCCCTCGGCAGAAGGTGAAGTGGACGCCTGGCGGAGGCTGGGCATCGAGCAGGCCCACGTCCGGGGCTGCGCGGTGCTGGGCTTCTGCCGAGACATCGGCTGGGGCCTGTGGGCGGATCTGTGGACTGCCGGTGCCGCGGAGGAATTTGGAGATGTCGGATCTGTGGGTGGAAGGGGGGGGAGGGGCCAACCGGTATGGGATTAGATGCTGCGGTGAGATGCTTGGACCAGAAAATGAGGGGATCCAACCTTTTGGAAGGATCAAATAGTGCAGCGACCGATGGCCCTTGAAAAGTGCTTGCAACTTCAAGAGTGAAGTGCGTGGGTGGAAGTTGTGCGGGATGACCTTTGGGCACTTTCTTTGAGCCACTGCTAGATGAGTCTCATCTTGACCGGGCGATGTTGAGTACGGAGCCCTGCAGGTCGAATGGCAGGTAACGCCGAGTCTCAAGAAAGGCAAGCCAAGAAACAGCAAGAGAACTGTGAGACAAATGGTTGGAAGACCCTTGAAAGTGGCTGGATCATATAAATATATTAATGTAATGTTTCACAAGGGGGTCGAGAGCAAGCAAACACAAAAACAAACACATACCCTGGTCTTGACAGAGGACCAATGAACTCGCCGTGTCCAAACGAAGTGTTCGAAAACAGGTAGCAGCCTCAATGTTTACAAGCAGAGTTCCAAAGGTTAAAGGCAGCATGCTGATAAAACATAGAAAAGGAGAGGCGAGATATTAACGGCGAATGGACAATAAACTTTGACCGAAGGTATTTGGCAAGACAGGGTTGAGCCGATGAAGAAGCAGGTCGGGTTTTATGCGGAATCGTGCCAGGCAACTTGGCTCTAATTAGTGGATGTAGTGAATGCTCGGCATGCCAAAACCTACCAACGACTGCATGTTCCCATTGGATGAGTGCCTGTTGGACAACACTTGGTAATTATTTTGAACGCTGTGACCGCAGTTTTTGTGTGGTACAGTCGGTACAGTCAACTTCTTGACTGAGGACTTTGGCTCTACCCACTGGAGCGCCTCGGCATGGCAAAAGGCTCAGTTGGTTTCGGTTTCTGGGGCGGGCCCAGCGAATTTTGCTCTCAGGTTGCCCTTGGTGGTTGAATCGTGAGGTGTCCATTGGGGTAGGGCCATAGAAAGCCAATGGAAGCCGATCCCGACCCAGAAAACGAGGGAGGCGACCGCAAGTAACTCATCAATGTCGTAGCGCCGGCATATTGCTGTGGCGGCATGCTTGCAGGGGAGCTTTATCTGCCCGTGTTTTGGTTGGCTAAGAGGAGACTAGAGTGAGGGTTGTTGAAACCTACACAAACCTGACCATCACCCATTGGTGATACCGGATTCTATGTCAATGGGAGATTCGGCTTGGGGCGCTCTTATCAGTCGCCGCATGAGGTCCGACCGTCTTCTGGCGGGTTTCATCTTGGTTCCCTTTCACAGCTGTTCAAGCGACGCGTACTCCGGTTGGGGGCACCGCTGGTGTTCAGAAACAAGAAGCAGGGCTGGGAAGGTTTCGGTTTTTCTCGCACCCATCAGGAAATGCTTGGGCCTCAGGCATGGCTGCAGAAATAGCAAAAAGCAAGCAGCAGGGGTTCACTTAGATCTATGTGAACGGTTTTAACAGCCTGGAATCCTCCCTCTTTTCTGCTCCCTTGGGCCCTGCCACTTGCCCCCGTTCTCGGGAAAAAAACTGCGAGGCATGCCATGGAAGACGCTCAGCTGTCCAGGCGCAATGGCTTGGAGAACATCGAAAGGGCCGCCGGTGGGCCCTTAGGACAACTTTCTGACTCGTGTTCAACTGGACTTGCGTCACCGTTTGGGAGTTCATGGCGAAAATAGAAAGTTCAACTGGACTTGTTTTTAGCTTTACTCGCCCAGGTGAGTGGTTGATACTGAACCCCCTTGGCTGATTTTTTGGGGGCCAGCCAACCCATCTTGGGAATCCGGACTGTGTGGGGAACCAGCTCCTCCCAACTCAAACTTTGAAACGTTTTGCCAGCACGAGTCATAGGACAGGCAACGTCTCTTTGATCCAGAGACTTGTTGGAATCAATGACCCTTGCAAAAGAACTCCCCTAGGACCATTCCGCCCTTGGGGTTCACCGCGCCAGCAGGATAGAAAGCTGGTATCGGGCCCTACTGCCGGCTTTTTCCCCTTGTAGGGACCGAATGTCTAACTTGTTCACAGGATCTGTGAAGCAACCCCGGTAGTTAACAGCCACAACATCCATTCGCAATGTGTCATGGATTTGACTTTCCATCGGTTTTCTTTGCAACCACCACAGAGGAGAACAATAAACAGACACCCATTTGTAGGGGAGGTTTTACCTTCCCCATCACTCCAAAAATCTTCACCAGAACCACCCCCAAGAACCCTGAACAAATGAGGACACCCCATACAGGTGTGTCTTTTATTAGAGGACGCCTTCTTTGGATGGTTAAAATGGTTAAAAGGCAAACCAAAAGGACACTGCTCATTTTGGGGTGTTCCGCTTCCCATATTTTGAGACAGACCCAAATACAAGCCACTCCCCACCCACCCACCCCTCCTGCCCCAAAAAAAGCACGCAAAAATGGGGACAGCCCCACACCAAACCACAAATCCAGCCCCCCACCCTGCCCAAAATGACTCGCAAAAACAGACCAAACCACAAACCCCCCCCTCCCCCATCACCCGAACCCCCCAATTCGCAGGCCGAGCGGCGGGCTGCAGCTCCTCTACCGCTGCCTGCACCCTTCGCCGCTCGGCGCCTGGGAAGCCGTGCTGGGCGCCGAGCCCGCGCCGCAGGCGCCGGGCTCGCCGGCCGGAGTTCCGAGCCCCGGAGTTCCGAAAGCCAAAAGCCGGGGACCCGGCAGACCCGACATGGACGGTTTTTGTCCATGTTTCCATTTGCTGAAATGAATATTTGTTTGTGTCTTCCCCTGTTGATGTTGTTGAGGCCTATATGACTTATGTGTTGTAACGTTCTGAAAGAACCAAAGAAGCATGGCCTCAACAAAACTACTCTCGTATGTGCCTTTGGCACAACAGCTACTTTATTTGTTGATTCATCAATCGTAGTTGGCGGTTTTTTGGGGGATTCATCTAAAGGTCCCATGAACATAGGACCATTGGGGGAAAACCACTAAACATATGATGTTTCCCACATGGAAATTTGGGGACCGAACGGAATATTGATCAACCCCCCATTTTTCGGGTAGACGAAATCAAGGAACATGTTGTGTGTTGAAAGAAACCTCCTCGAAGGGCGGTTTGTACTTGCGACGAAACTATGAACAGATTGGGCGTTCCTCAACTCTCGTCACATGTTTGATCAGAAATTACCTTCTGGGGACCTGGGCCCTCCAAAACTATTTCATAGATGGACTAAGTATGAACCATAATCACATAAGGACTCATCATTTGGAGGACGAGGGCGTTTTCCGGAAGCAAGAGTATTGATCAACTCCCATGTAAACTTTGCATTGTGGATATTTCAATCATTACCTTGTCGGTACCCATATGTCCCTTGTTGTTTTTGTTGGACCTTTCAATGGTTGCTGCAATGTCAACGCAAGGTACAGGGGGCAGGTAATCATGGTTCTAGGATTGACGGTCCGTTGGCAAGGACCGGTAGTTTCGTTTGAGGCATTGTTTTGTTCGGCAACAGAAAAGCGATGGGCGCGTGGGTTGAGGACAAGCCCTTGCTCAGTTTTTTTTCTTCAGTTATTCATCTTGTGAGAAAAACTACTTGGCCCTGGCGTTCTTCGTCCCCAAGCAAAATCACTATGCCTATATGTATACTTAGTTCTTGTATGTGTTTATGTGGTCACTGTTATTTATTCATGTATTTATGCTCATGGTTGAGTTGTTGTTGTATTATTTATGTACTTGTTTAATCAGTTGTTCAATAAGCATATATATATATATATATGTATATATATATATGAGCCACGGACAAAACACACGAAGACCACTTTATCAAGGCGGGGAACGTTTTTGCATAACACATGCCAAAGCCATGGAAAACGATAAGGTCTCCCCCAAAAACGATAACCCTTAGCTAACACACGGCTCTACAATAACCCCTGCAGTTGCAACTTAGCTAGGGTGGGACCCTTGCGTGGCCACCGTAAAACGAGAAGGCGAGTCGCCACTTTCGAGCTAGAGCTGCCAAGGTGTGCTTCGTAAATACGACACTTGTACTGAGAAGTTGCGATTTTCGAGCTGGAGCTGCGGAAGTGTACTTCGCGTACTAGACTTGTGCTACAAAGTTCTGATTTTCGAGCTGGAGATGCGGAAGTGCACTTCGCGTACTAGACTTGTACTACAAAGTTGCGATTTTCGAGCTGGAAATGTGGTAGTGTACTTCGCGCACTAGACTTGTACTACAAAGTTGCGACTTTCGAGCTGGAGATGCGGAAGCGTACTTCGCGCACTAGACTTGTACTACAAAGTTTCGATTTTCGAGCTAGAGCTGCGGATGTGTACTTCGCGTACTAGACTTGTACTACAAAGTTGCGATTTTTGAGCTGGAGCTGCGGAAGTGTACTTCGCGTCTTGCACTACAGAGTTGCGATTTTCGAGCTGGAGATGCGGAAGTGTACTTCGCGTACTAGACTTGTACTACAAAGTTGCGATTTTCGAGCTGGAGCTGCGGAAGTGTACTTCGCGTACTAGACTTGTACTACAAAGTTGCGATTTTCGAGCTGGAGATGCGGAAGTGTACTTCGCGTACTAGACTTGTACTACAAAGTTGCGATTTTCGAGCTGGAGATGCGGAAGTGTACTTCGCGTACTAGACTTGTACTACAAAGTTGCGATTTTCGAGCTGGAGCTGCGGAAGCGTACTTCGCGTACTAGACTTGTACTACAAAGTTGCGATTTTCGAGCTGGAGCTGCGGAAGTGTACTTCGCGTACTTGTACTACAAAGTTGCGATTTTCGAGCTGGAGATGCGGAAGTGTACTTCGCGTACTAGACTTGTACTACAAAGTTGCGATTTTCGAGCTGGAGCTGCGGAAGTGTACGTACTAGACTTGTACTACAAACTGCGCAAGTGTACTTCGCGTACTAGACTTGTACTGCAAAGTTTCGATTTTCGAGCTGGAGCTGCGGAAGTGTACTTCGCGTACTAGACTTGTACTACAAAGTTGCGATTTCGAGCTGGAGCTGCGCAAGTGTACTTCGCGTACTAGACTTGTTCTACAAAGTTGCGATTTTCGAGCTGGAGATGCGGAAGTGTACTTCGCGTACTAGACTTGTACTACAAAGTTGTGATTTTCGAGCTGGAGCTGCGGAAGTGTACTTCGCGTACTAGACTTGTACTACAAAGTTGCGATTTTCGAGCTGGAGCTGCGGAAGTGTACTGCGCGTGTTGCACTACAAAGTTGCGATTTTCGAGCTGGAGATTCGGAAGTGTACTTCGCGTACTAGACTTGTACTACAAAGTTGGGATTTTCGAGCTGGAGCTGCGGAAGTGTACTTCGCGTACTAGACTTGTACTACAAACTGCGCAAGTGTACTTCGCGTACTAGACTTGTACTGCAAAGTTTCGATTTTCGAGCTGGAGCTGCGGAAGTGTACTTCGCGTACTAGACTTGTGCTACAAAGTTGCGATTTTCACGCTGGAGCTGCGCAAGTGTACTTCGCGTACTAGACTTGTACTACAAACTTGCAACTTTCGAGCTGGAGATGCGGAAGTGTACTTCGCGCACTAGACTTGTACTACAAAGTTGCGATTTTCGAGCTGGAGCTGCGGATGTGTGCTTCGCGTACTAGACTTGTACTACAAAGTTTCGATTTTTGAGCTGGAGCTGCGGAAGTGTACTTCGGTTACTAGACTGGTACTACAAAGTTGCGATTTTCGAGCTGGAGATGCGGAAGTGTACTTCGCGTACTAGACTTGTACTACAAAGTTGCGATTTTCGAGCTGGAGATGCGGAAGTGTACTTCTCGTACTAGACTTGTACTACAAAGTTGCGATTTTCGAGCTGGAGATGCGGAAGTGTACTTCGCTTACTAGACTGGTACTACAAAGTTGCGATTTTCGAGCTGGAGCTGCGGAAGTGTACTTGGCGTACTAGACTTGTACTACAAAGTTGCGATTTTCGAGCTGGAGATGCGGAAGTCTTGTACTTCGCGTACTAGACTTGTACTACAAAGCTGCGATTTTCGAGCTGGAGCTGCGGAAGTGTACTTCGCGTCTTGCACTCCAAAGTTGCGTTTTTCGAGCTGGAGCTGCGGATGTGTACTTCGCGTACTAGACTTGTACTACAAAGTTGCGATTTTTGAGCTGGAGCTGCGGAAGTGTACTTCGCGTCTTGTACTACAAAGTTGCGATTTTCGAGCTGGAGCTGCGGAAGCGTACTTCGCGCACTAGACTTGTACTACAAAGTTGCGATTTTCGAGCTGGAGATGCGGAAGTGTACTTCGCGTACTAGACTTGTACTACAAAGTTGCGATTTTCGAGCTGGAGATGCGGAAGTGTACTTCGCGTACTAGACTTGTACTACAAAGTTGCGATTTTCGAGCTGGAGATGCGGAAGTGTACTTCGCGTACTAGACTTGTACTACAAAGTTGCGATTTTCGAGCTGGAGATGCGGAAGTGTACTTCGCGTACTAGACTTGCGCTACAAAGTTGCGATTTTCGAGCTGGAGATGCGGAAGTGTACTTCGCGTACTAGACTTGCACTACAAAGTTGCGATTTTCGAGCTGGAGATGCGGAAGTGTACTTCGCGTACTAGACTTGTACTACAAAGTTGCGATTTTCGAGCTGGAGATGCGGAAGTGTACTTCGCGTACTAGACTTGCGCTACAAAGTTGCGATTTTCGAGCTGGAGATGCGGAAGTGTACTTCTCGTAGCTGCGGAAGTGTACTTGGCGTACTAGACTTGTACTACAAAGTTGTAAATTTCGAGCTGGAGATGCGGAAGTGTACTTCGCGTACTAGACTTGCGCTACAAAGTTGCGATTTTCGAGCTGGAGATGCGGAAGTGTGCCTCGCGTACTAGACTTGTACAACAAAGTTGCGATTTTTGAGCCGGATCTGCCAAAGTTCGAAAACACTGTAAAACGATAAGGTCTCCCCCAAAAACGATAACGTTCAAAAAAGTACTAGGGCCAAGTAAAGTGTTTCGTCCGCTCCTCATATATATATTATACACGCCCGTTGTAGGCTATGTTTCCCTACCAGGTGTCACCAACCAAAATATGGGGAAGAAGATCATATGCCGATTTGCCGTTTCGAAGTGAGGGGCACGCCTATGGGCGGCCAGGCAAGGCCACTTGAGGGCCCAGAAACGCGGCCAAACCCAGCTTAGCAGGTACACAACGGGTCCCAAACAAAAGACAGTTGCACTCCAGCAGGCCCCAATCAGCAACTCTGTACACCCCCTTTTGCAGCCAAGTATGGGAAGCCAAAAGGGCAAAGCCTATCCCGAGATGGCGCGCCAGGTGTGCGTTGCCTTGAAGGCAGACCCTCCTGAGGCGGCGTCCGACTGGCAGGACTGGCCGGACATCAAGATGTTTTCAGGGTAAACGGGTAAACCATGGTAAACCATAGGTGTCCTTTATGGTTGGTTTGGTAGAAGAATAGGTGGCCCTGGTTTACCTGGTGGTTTCATCATCTACCAGGGCCATCTATTTCCTAAAAGGACACCTATAGGGTAAGCCCCTGTTGTTGGTGTTTGATCAGAACTTGAGCAAAGCGTACGATGCCTCGAAGGCGCTTTAGCATTCAGCCAAATATTTCGCGAACAACACACAAATCTCTTTGGCAGACTCCTTCACGGATCACAAATGCCTGCAGTGCTGTGGTTCTCCACAGCATAAGTCCGAGGACGTGTTGGGGAACTCCCGTAAAGCTGCAAATCTGTCAATCCGCGGGCTCACGAAGCGTGATACACTAGTGCTGCTTTCTCGAACCTTGCTCCAAAATGGCCAAGCCTACGTTTTGGTTTGCACTATTCCTAGCACAGGCCCCGAGTAACGCGTATATGCCGCGAATGGTTGGCGGGGTGGCACATCCTGTGTTCTTTGGCCCTCGTTTGCCTTGTGTGGCCCTAACATAAGGCTTACTAAGCCCTCTGCTATACAAATCATGGCATAGTATTTACATCACTTGCCCCACACGTAACCCACACACAGGCGGGTACACCAACTTTAAGTCAGGGGCAACATGGTTCAGGAGGGAATGCTCCAGGAAAAAGAGCATTGAGACGTTCTTGTATACATATGAATAATACATATATATATATATATACATATATAATATACATATCTGCAGTATTCGCTACATTGGGGCTCTGCGTTAGTTCCAGAGCGCATGCGGACAAACACGAGGGCTTGGCGACGGAGTCGGGAAAGATTCGCGAAATAATGTTATTTTCTGCGAAGATGGGATTTTCCGGAAGCAGGCAGGAATTGATCAACTGCCACATAGAGATGTAAAAAGTGGGCTGTTGGAGCCCGGCGTGTGCTTGACGTTCTGCAGGACCTTCTAGGCCCCATCCTGGGCTTCCTCCTGGACTTCCACTCAGCAAGCTGGCGGGGCTTCGTGCACCAACGGGCCCTGAACGGCCACGTGGCGGGATCCAATCTGGCGGGATCTGAGCCGAGTCGAAAACTCGCTGGTTCTCAGCAGGTCCCTTCAGAATAAATATATATATATATATGTATATATATATATATATGTATAGAGTATCAAAACTAGGTTTGGGGTTAACTTCGTTGAAGCCACACTTGGCCGGGTTTCTCTTAAGGGGCATCAACAAGATGGTTAGCCAAGATGGGTTGTGGGCAGTCGTACCTGAAGAATTCAATCGGTCAGTTTGGGGGTTTAACATCTATTGCATCCGCAGTGTGGCTGTTCAAGCGTAAAAATGTGCGAGCAGCGCACTTGGACGGTTTGTTGAGTTGTTTTCTTTTGGGCCCCAAACCGGTAACCCTTGAATCTATAGGTTATCAGCCGTAGGCCCCTAGCTCTAAGCAATGGATAGTTCCATTGTGCCAGTTGATGGATCCAACATGCCCGTGGATGCTGTCGGAGCTAGCTCCGACAACGCCACCGGCAGCGGTGCGCGAATGTTCGTGCCAAGCGCCAATGCGCAGTATAACCGCACCCTGATGAATTCCCTTCAACTGTACAATACCGCAATCTTTGCTTTTGGGAATGATGCAGCTATTAGGTCGGAAGCCGAAGCCCTGCATCAAGCTGCTGTTACTCATTTGCAAGCGGAAAACCGTGAGGAGCTCCGTGTCGCACAGAATCAGCTGCATGCACATTACGCTGAGTGTGTGCAAGCCCAGTCGCGCAGGATTCGTGATTACGAACAGCGGGTGAGCGATGAGTTCAACCAAGAAGTGAACTTCGCTGAAGCTAGGATAAGCCAAATGTGTGAGGAAAATGCCCAAGCATTGCATGAAGTGGAAATGAGACGCAAAACAACTGAGTTTAGGCAAGCCATTGAATCTACCCTGGCAGATGCTCAGCAGCTCCTTCAAGAGCAAGCCGCAAAGCATGCTGATGACACTGCACGCGTCGAAGCAAAAAATGCCAGGACGATTGACATGATAGCCTACCAAAACGGGCTTCTGCAGGATGAGCTTGATGAGCTACCTTTTCAGAAGCAACACAACCTCCGCGAGAATGGATCGAAGCCCAAAAGGGGTAGGTGATACCCGAGAGGATTCGCCAGAGCTGATGACGGACGACATGAAGTCGGCTCGGTCGCAAAGGTCAATGTTGGACCCGTTGTCCAATCCATTTCAATATGCAAAGGAAAAGTTGAGGTCGCTTGTTACCAATGACGGCTACGAAGCTGAGTATACTCCCAGCATAATGCGACCTGCTCAAAGTGAAGCATTGAAAGCCGATGCTCGCGATCCGCAGGGACCTGCAGAGAAGCCATCAGGTAGTGGTCGGTCCCCGACCAAAACAAGTGCACCGGCTCCGCCCCTGCAATTCTCTTAGGGGCCAATGCCAACCGACCGCAAGCAGGGAGGCAAGCCTCCTGGCGGTCCGCCACCCGGTGATGATGGGAATGGCGATGGCGAAGGTGATGAGGACGAGGCCTCGGCCAAGAAGCTTTCGCTAAAATGTTGATGAAGTTGGTAAAAGGTCACACGAATGACGAGAAGCCCAGAACTCGTGAAAGCGAGACGTTGAAACTCAAGGAGATGCCAACTCCTGAAACGTACCGTGAGTGGAAGACATCGGTTCGTGAAGACGTCCGCGCTGCATCCGACCGACCAGACGAGGCCTGCCCTTGGATCATGGAAGTTTGGTCTGATCGCGAGGATAAGAAAAGGCTGTCGGAAGAGCTGGGTGAACCTGGGAATTTCGTGACTCTTGACACGAACATTCTCGCAGCGCTCACGCGCTCAGTGAAAGGTGTTCTGGCTCAGCGAATTCTGACGGCAAAAGAAGAGTGTGCCAAGGAGGGAAAGGCAATGGGAGGAAGGCTGGTCCTGTTTATGTTTGACCAATATTTCAAGACCAGTGAAGAAGCCGGAAACCTCTACTCCTTGGAGGACCTGTTGCGTGTCTCGCGACACGGCAAAGGGATCATTAATCTCAAGCGATTCTTAAACGCTTGGGACTCTGTCATCGCCGGCATGAAAAGGCCGCCCGAAGAAAAGGTGTTAAAAGACATTTGGCTTCACCAAGTGAGGAGCTGCCACCTGTTGCGGTACGACATTGATACATATGATCGTTGCCGTGATGATGATCCCAATAAATCGTATGATTTCCTGATGCGTTGCATGAGGGATCTGATTGAAAGGGACAGGCTTCGCGAGAACCGGGAGCGCGTGTCCAAGGTCGATGCCAGTAAAGCCCCGACGCCTAAGGCCGGTGCCGCCGCTCCTGAAAGGAAGGATCCCAAGAAGAAGAGCGCACCTCAGCCGAAGGATGCCGAGGAGAAGTACTGCTTTGACTTCCAGAAGGGCTCGTGCACGAGGGGGGCAGCAAGAGATGTTCTCACCCTCGCGTTGATCAGCGTGGAGCTGGCAAAGCTCTCTCGGCTCCAGCCGTCCCAGATAGTAACACGTGGAAGAGCAGACTGGGTCTTGTGGCCATATTGATTTTTTTTATGGACGGACGAGGGTCAGAACCCTCCCAGGTGCAATAGAATCCGTTTCGGGAATAGCCTCTAAAGAGAGAGCCGGGCCATCACCGGGCCACTGCCGGGCCATCACCCTGAAGAGCGTGAGCTTCCAGCTGCCCTGCGAGGAGGACGTGCTGCCGAGCGCCTTCGATCACAAGCCCCTCTGCGTGCCCCGGCAGCTGGCCGAGCTGCTGCAGCTGAGCGTGGAGGAGGTGTGCGCCGACTTCGACGCCATGCTGCTGGAGGCGCCTCGGCATCTCCGCCGAGGAGGTGCGGGAGTTCTGCGTGTGGCGCAACGCCCCGATGCGCGTGCTGAGCTCGCAGGGCGACCTCGTGGACAGCTACGACCCGGTGCTGAAGGAGCATCGCACCGTGTGCTTCCTGGCCTTCGACGGGCACTGCCTGCGAAGGATTCGAAATCTAAAATGCTGCGTGCAGGCGTGTGGCTGCAACAAAACGACCCCTAGATATATGCTTGCAATTTGCCTCGTAGCTGCGTTTCTGCAAGGCAAGCCTGCCCTGAAAGGAAACCCATTTTTTGGAAGCCTTTTTCCCGGAACCCTGTTTTTCTTTTTTCTTTTTTTTGGCAGGCTTGCCTTGCAGAAACGCAGCTACGAGGCAAATTGCAGGCATATCTAGGGGGTCGTTTTGTTGCAGCCACACGCCTGCACGCGGCAAATGTTTGATTTCGAATCCTTCGCAGGACGAGGTCGTTTCCTGGACGGACGAGTGTCAGAACCCTCCCAGGTGCAATAGAATCTGTTTCGGGAATAGCCTCTAAAGAGAGAGGCCGTGTCTTAGCTGGACTTTGGACTTTGCAGGACGGTGGAATGTTATTCAGCAATTGCCACGCCTTCAACTTGGGTTGCTGTTAGGACAGACACGGATGCTGGGCCACACAGCTCGGACCTCAGCAGCGCAGAGTGCTCTACTCTTGTAAACTTGCATTGCAGACTAGCTATCTGGTCACTTGCTGTTCTCGGCTGAGGGAATGGGCGCAACGTCTCACCTGTACAAAGGGTGCAGTCGCGCGCACAGTTGTTTCGTTGCAGTGCTTTTTGCTTGACTCTTGAAGCGCAAGGGAAGGTTAGTGTTCACACTTTTAGCACAGGCTGCGGTCCAAGACGAGCAGAAAATGGCGTGCAACGGGTGCAGGAGCGCTGGTCAACAGCTGCTTTACCAAGTGTCAAGGCGCAGAGGCATCTGAGGAAGTGTAAAGGAAATGATTGGCAACTTGTGCATCTTGTTTCATCTGTTTGTTAAGCGTGGCGCTGGCACCGTGCCTTGCGCAGGTCTTTGCAAAAAATAGTTTCGGCGCGTCTGCTATGTCGAAGTGACTACGGGTGGTGTTTCTGGGTAAACCAAAAGCTGGGTTTCAATTGGCGCGTTTCAATTGAAATCCAAAACGGAAACCAACCGTTTTCAGGATCCGGATTCTATGTTGACAACACCATGGCCTGAACATGCCCAAGAAGGATGTCTTGCGGGGAACCCCATGCGTTTGCTTGGGCCCTTTTCAAACCCTCGACCCCGAAATAAAAGGTGATCACCTTTGGAGCCATGACTAAGGATTGACCAACGAAGGTTAAAAGGTCGATTCGCTTTGGGCAACTGGGAAACAGAAAGGGTGAATCACTTAATTAAGAAGTTCACCAACCAACCCCAGGAACCTACTTCCCGCCCGTCACGTCTGCTTGCGGGAGAGGAATCGACCAACTTGTTGGTATTATGGCCGTATCAATGCATATTCAACTTGTCGGACAAGTGGTTGGTCGCTCAAATCATGTTGGTATGATGCCAGAAAAATGCGGCTGGTTCCCGTTTTTCACCCAATTCGAAGCAGAGATAACTGGGGTCATTACGTTGACGATTTCCGGGGTTCATCAAAGTCAAAAGATGCTGGTGGCTTCCCTTTGATCTACCGCTTGGGGATGACTGTAATACTAGTAGTATACTGGGGCCAGGATAAAAATGACTTGTTGAGCCTAGTTAAAAGAGTTTCGGTACCCCACTTGGAACCGCACCGGGAGTCGCCCTCGCGCTGTTTGTGGGATCAAAAAGCCTGGTAGTCTCATGAACCCCGGTTGAACACGTCCGGGCATTCCCCAAGTAGTACACACCGTTGGGTAAGTCAATCAGTTTGGATGTCGCCGCAGCGCACTTGGACGGTTTGTTGTTTCCTTTTGGGCCCCAAACCGGTAACCCTTGAATCTATAGTACCGGGCCCCCTTCAGAACTTCAATCTGTCTACAAAGGATTGGTTATATGTTTTTAGGGTCGTCGGCCCCTCATTCCTTCTTAGAAGCAGCAAGAGAAAAGAACCGTTGTTCGTGGACTTCCAAGGGGGGCTATGAGGAGGGGGTGCGGCAGTCCTATGAATCCGTGCGGAGACACGCACTCTTTGTTTTTTTGCCACCGGGTTTGTATACACGACCGTGCAGTTGTGGGTTATATGTTTGGATCTGTTGGTTTGCTGCAGACCAAGTAATGGTAAGTGGGCACTAACCAAAAGTTCAATTCTTAGCTGATCCGCAAGCGAGTGGAAATGGCATGGCCTCACAGTAGGTTGGAACTGACAAAGCGCACCAGAGCGGAACGATTTCAAAATGAAGTGTCCATTCCTTCGGAAGAGAAAAACGTTGGCGGGTCCTCCCCAGGTCTGAGCGCCATGGAGATCGCCAGCCGGCTCTCCCACCTGCTAGCCGACACCTTCGCAGCCCCTCGATGGCGAAGACCGTGCGCCCGAAGCGAGGTTAGCCCCCTTGGAAGTGTCCGGGATTGTTGCTTGAATGGTGGGCAGCAACTCCTGGGCTTATTTCGGAAGAGACCCCGTAGCTGAAAGCTGTTGGGGAAGAACAAACGCCAAGTATGAAGGGTGGCTGGGCTTCCGGGCTTCCGTTTTTTGTGTTTGGCATTTGTCCTGGTACGGGGAAGGGCGCTGAATCCCCAAAAGCGGCGGAGGAGACAAACCCCCCAGAACTGGAGGTCAGGGAAGCAAACTTATGACTCCTGGACTCGACCAAGAAACACATTGTGTCCTTTCTTCTTCCGTTTTCCTTAAAAGAACATGTGTTATTTTCCCTTGTTGGTTTTAAACAGAATCTATCACTACTGGACATATTGTTTTTACTCTTTTCCAGGCGGGCGAAAAGGCAAACGGAAGTCTTCCTTTCCGCAGAGAGAGGACCAAGCTCCCTGCGTTTGAGTCCGCTTCGCGGCCGCTACCAAGTTGTTTTTTGGGTCGGCGGGTTTCTTTGGCTTCCGCCCAGTTCAACGAAACGGGGGCGGCCCAAACCGCCAAACGCTGGATGCGGGGTCGCATGGCCCGGTTTTGCCAGAATGAGACGGTGGGCCTGCTTGGAGCGTTCAATGATATGCTTTTGGAATTGCTGCTCAGGGAAGGTCAGGGAAACCAAGCAACTGGAGTCTTTCTCAATTTGAGACATACCTACGTACTGCGACCATAAGGTGATCAAATATGTTTGTTATATATTCGCTCCACAGACCCCAAGAGCCCAAAGCAGAAACAGGACACCTACCATGTTTCTGTCATTTGCGCATGGGAGAGCTGAGCTGTACCTTCCACCTTACCCACGAGGGTTTTCTTGCGAGGTGATGACTAGTTTCACCACAGAGGTCCTTGAGTTGCCCCCAGTTCAAACTGTGCAAAGCCAGTCGGCGCATGATTCTGCACTGCTTTGGGTCAAAGTCAGACACCGGTTCTGCTCCTTCAACCTACCACTTTGGATGACCTGGCCAGGCAATAAGCCCAGGTAGCCCCGAAACGTCTGGAACTGTCCGGAACCTTGCTCCACACCAGCCCAGAGATTGTTTGGGCCAAGCTGACCCATACTCTAGGGTTCAAACAATTGGGGTCATAAAACCAGCGTTATTTACCTAGCGATTGTCACCCAAATAGGGTCAACCATTCTTGTAGTGGGCAGCTTTCAACTGCCCCTGGGAGACACACTTTGAGGGAAGCCATGTTTGAGAATTCGCTGGCTTTCCTGACGAAATCAGTCCCGTTGATTAGCGTGTCTCTGTCGGGGGAGGGGGAGGGGGCAAAGATGGTTGAAGCCACAGACGCCTTTACAGTGTTACAAGAGTCTTAAACAATGTCTTGAACAATAGTTTGAAACATGCTTGAAGCAAGAGGTGCTTAAACTGAAATTAGTATGATTTCATTCAAATCAATTTATAGTTCCACGTTCCTTCGTGTCTAAACAAATTCATTCGCCGGACGAACGTGGAACAAAACTCCGCCTGCCTGCCGGCCCCTTGGGCCCGAGGTGCGGTGTGTGTGCCGCCGGTTCCTGGCCTCGAGCCGCAGATGCAGCGGCCGCTGGCGCGGCGCGTTGCACCAGCTGCTGCAGCTGCCCCGCAGGCCAGCGGCGCGATCCGAGCGCGAGCTCCGAGCCGAAGAGGGAGTGACGCTTTTTGGCGGTGGAAACCCAACAACGGTGACTTACAAATTTGGCTTTTTTGCTTTTGCGGTGAAACACAGACCAGTGACCTA